TGTAGGACGTTCCCCCACTAGATGGAGTCAAAACCTGATAAGACATGCAGGAAGTTGATGGATTCAGGTAGCTCAGGACCGAAGTACTAATTGTTCCAACTCTTTATTATTAAACGCTAGGTTTTGTAAACGAGATGCTCCCCGTAAAATCAGTATAGTTTGAGACTGATTTCTTTAACTTCATAGTTTTCTTTTCTCATAACCTTCGAAAAATTTTAGATTACAGTAACAAATAAATGATTGGTGAGTTCAAGACTATTATGTGATAAAAATTGAATTATTTTTTATATTATTTTTTACGCCGAATAATAATGGAGTTATTCGACTATTCGCCATAGAGAATGGCAATTAATAGGTATTGGACTATTCGCCATAGGGAATGGCGATTAATCGATATTCGACTATTCGCCATAGGGAATGGCGATTAATCGGTATTAGACTACTCGCCATAAGGAATGGCGATTAATCGGTATTCGACTATTCGCCATAGGGAATGGCGATTAATCGGTATTCGACTATTCGCCATAGGGAATGGCGATTTATACACCCAAAGGAATGGCGATTATCATTCGACATTGCCATGGAAAAAATTCCAATATTTTCGACTATTCGCCATAGGGAATGGCGATTAATCGGTATTCGACTATTTACCATAGGGAATGGCGATTAATTGGTGTTCGACTATTCGCTATAACAACTATTCGGGGCATCTCTACCTAAAACCCAGTCAAAAAGTCAAATCTTCTTCAGTGGTGGTAGTTCTTCCAAAGGCCATTCCTACAAGTAAAAAGTTTAACTAAACGTTTTAGTAACTACATTTACATATAGACCAACTTACAACCCAGTTGGTATTGGTAAGATAAGATATCGTAAATACAGTTAAGGGATTGGCGTAACGCATTACAACCTTGAAGATTTGTGCAGTATGAGTGGTTTTTAAACAGATAAAATTAAATTATTATTAAAGTTTCTTCCTTACGACACAATCGCTATTTGTTTATGCGACTGTAGCGAGATTTAGTAGGTCAAGGCTACGGACCGAGAAACTTATTAGCCGTGGGTTCGAACCCGTTCTTTAACTATCGTATATTGTCGGGTGACAGGAAAAAAATCACAAGTAACGAATATAAACCAATGGAGTTATTAGCATTTTAACAGTTTTTTTGATGTCAAAATGTCATTTTTGGAAAAAAAAATTCGATTCATATTATTGATGCTATATATTCTAAGTTCTGTAACTATAAACCAATTCTATAGAAATATCGTTTTATTTTGGAATTATTTATTAAAAATGTACTTGTGAGTTTTTCTAGTGAACGAAAAACATGAAAGATTGAACTAAGCAAAACAAATATTGTATAGAAAATATACAAATTTAGTAATTAAATGAGACAAATTGACAAAAAGGCATATTAACAGTATAACTACCTACTATTTAACAAATTTTACTTACTTAACAGTTACAATATTCACTTATCTTTTTATGCTATTTATGGTACTATGTAGGTACCTGAATATATCTCTATGCGTTTTCTGCATATTCCTCGACAAAGCTTGGTTCTGGAAAATGCTCAGTTTGGGTAGACTCTATTAGATAGTAAATTTTTATACCACGATACTACTTTTTCTAATATAAGTCCAGTGTCTGCAAGCTTAACAATATCAGCCTTTTTAGACTCAGATATCGGGGTCATAGTTTTATAGGCAGGTTTTAGTTGAACTGAAGCACTTCTTTTTCTACCTTTACCGACAACATTAATCTTTTTAGTCAGAGTTGTGGAGATATTTAGAAAACATCATGTTCTTTAACCACGATAGTAAATCTCCATTTTCATCTTTATTTATATCTTTCATTGTAGCAGTTATGCAAAATCATGGAAACAATAGAAATCTGTAAATTTGACCAAGTATATTTTGTAGGCTCCATTTTTTCTATGTTTGTGATCTTTAGGACTTCGCAATGATTTAAAAATATCTACCCAATCTTTCAAAGTGAAAACAGGATTATATTTTTTGCAGCCTCAATAGTTGAAATACATTGAATCAAATGCCATATAAGAATGACTTGACTAAGAATTTGGGTTTTCATAGTACTTAATTTGTACAGCATAGAGCAAGGTTGCAGCTACTTGTTGGTTTCGATTTTGTCCTCTACATGTCTTACAAAAAGTGAAAATTCTGAGACATTGGGAGGTGTCAATTGGAGAAAATTGTACATTATTAAGCCAATTTGTTACTCACTCTTTTCCCATGTTACTCATTCCAAGTGAAACAGTGAGCTGTTTCGCCTTGTCCAACGTAAATAGTAAAATTGAACGAATTTGTGTGCGTGAATTTTGTGTGTTTTTTACCTAGTGAATTTTTACCTGCCGAGTTCAACAAATATTTTGTATTTTGCTTCTTGGAATTTCGTAAATGAATTCACCTACGGATATAATGACTTTAATGTGGAAAAGTTGTTGATATTTTAATGTAGTGTAAAAAAAACCTATTTTTTTGTACTTAGTGAGTTTTTCGCCTCACCCGACGATATATTTAATAAAGAGAGTGGTTAACTAGTAATGTTATAACAATGTATCAAAGAAAAAATCTTACGTCTAGTTTGAACGGTGTAACTTTTTTTTTCATAACTTTCAGCGCATGTTGATTAAGAAAAACGTTAAATTGTAAGTTACACTTGCACAAAGCAAAGTGGTGTTTGGTATCTGTGCAAACGGTCTAAATAAAAAAAAATATACGCAAAAACAGCTTTTATTAATATATTTGATACTTTCGGCGATTGTGACTGAGGAATTTTGTGGCATATTTATAGGAAAGACGAATTTATTAAATTTAAAATATTTTAAAAAATGTGATTGGAGGTGCTGATATTGCCAATAAATAATGTGCTTTTTATACAACATTTGAGTCATTTTTTTATTTCTAAATAGGTTTAAAGATAATGTCTAATTATTATATTATATTACATGATATTTCTAAATAGGTTTAAAGTTAACGAGACTAATTTTAACATTGGACTAAATAAAATGAAAACACAATAAAAAAGTAGAAATAAATATTACAGATAAGAAGATATATCTCCACAAATTAATAGCATGTAGTTGTGTTATCTCTGTACTGACAAACTTTGTTATCACTCTTTAAACAAAAAGCAAATTAAAATAATAAGTATAACTAGTGAGGTTCACAGTAACTAGCGTGTGGATATTAATATCTAATTAGACATAATTCAGATTTGTAATGTATTTTTAAAAATCTGATTTCATCTGAATTCTATACAACATACAAATTTACCTAAATTTAATTTTAACCAACTTTCTCAGAAAAAGGGTAAAGTTTGTTGAGTGTATGTGCATATGTATGAGTATTTCTTTTGCACACTGTAGCCTGAATGGCATGATGGTATGTAACTTATGGGTCATTTAGATTCATCTTAATTGTGATAGTGACCATAGGGTAAAAAAACATCTTTTCAGTATTTTTTTACATTGTTGGGTTTTTCTAATTTGTAGCCTTGAGTTGTTTATTTTTAAATGTTTCTACTTATTTTCAATTTAAATTCAACACTATTAAACCAATTTTAAATGCTTACACTTGCAGAATCACGACAGTTTTTATTTACCACGTGCTCGAGGGGTTAAGGAAAACATCGTGAGGAAACCTGCATGTCTGAGAAATAAGAAGAAAAATATTTCGAAGACATGTGAAGTTCGCCAACATGCATTGGCGCAGCGCGTCGGATAATTCATTAAAACCCTCTCAATATGAGCGGAGACCCGTCACTACTATAATTGCAACTATCAACGCTGTTTAAAAATACTTTTTTTATGTGGTATCTATTGATAAATGTATGCATGATTTTATAAAAAATTAACAAATTTGTGTATGCAAAAAGCCTAATTAATCATGTTTGCTTAGCTTAATTAATATAAGCTGTTAACACCTATTTAAAAAACACAAGCATGAATTAGTGGTCTTAGACCATTTCCATTAAATAAGTTCAGAGCTGAAAGCTTACCCTCGTATTCATAAAAACTTTTAAACACTTGATTAGTTAGATAGTATTTTGTCTCATTCTGACATTTGCATGACACTTGTTGCTAGAAAGTAACAAAACACTATTTACTTGATGTGTTTAAAACTGTTAATGAATAAGGGAGTTAATGTTTCAATAAAGGCTAATAACCAGATGTCGCTAATTGACACTGAGGTGAAGTTTATTGTTTTACAATTTCATTTACTTGATAAGTTGTTAAGGATGCCTGTGACAAACCAATGACAGTGGTTTGATCTTTAATTTTTTGCATATTTTTACCTCTCTTTATAATTTTTCTAGTTTCATGAATACATTTATTAAATATTATTACTGTCTATTATTTTTAATCTAATTATTATAAAATGTAGGGAAAACTTTGGGTATTAAAAATAATAATAAGTTTATTAAATCCGATAAAATCCGTATAGTTATGTTCAATGTTTAGTGTTCGCATAAAATTAAGAAATCATTATAAAATATTAATACAGAAAGAAATATTCCTTTCCTTTTATTAAACAAATTAACTTCCTGCTATAAAATCTGTCAAATATTTCACCTCTATAGTGGCAGAAGAATTTGTGGATGTCTTTGGCAGTGTCAATTACTTTTTTTGCATAAAAGAACTATCATGATAACTAAAACTAGAGCAAAAAAGGGAAATAAAAACATGGTCCATAAGCAATATGAGTTTAATAAATTAAATGAATTTTCATCCCTTGTTTAAGTGTCTAATATTTATATTTACATTGGACCAGTATGAAATGAAATAAAAACTATTGTTCAATGTAAAATTAGAATGCCATTTATGAAACATCAGAATGATTTTTAATCTACTTAAGTTTCAAAATATGTTTATTGAGGTTCCTCTGACCAGAGAAAAAACAGAAGAGAAACACTTTTTGTCATTTATTAAATATAATTTTTTACTTAAATTTACAGAGCAGCTAATAAAATCATTACTAACCTTCCATCAAGTTGATGAGGTCCATTCTGCAACACAACATTGACCAATGAGGGCTCAGCGAAAGTGACGAAACCGAAGCCTCTTGACCTGCCCGACTCGCTGTTCTTCATAACCACACAGTCAATGACATCGCCATAGCGCGAAAAATAGCGCTGCAGGTTCTCCTGTGACGTCTCCCATGACAGACCACCAACAAACAGTTTTCTGTCATAAGAACAAACATTATTATTACTAAACTACCATCTACTTACTAAAGATTTAAAAAAATCATATTGTACAGACAGGTGATAGGAACCAACATATTCAGTGTTAGGGTACTTAGTTGTATTCATCAACCTTTCTATTTACCTGTATTGGTGAGTACGAGAAAATCTTTTAAGTGATAGCCAAAGCCAATATTGTCATATAACATAGTAACTTGTTTTAATTTTTTTAATTTCTAATAAAAATGCATTGAAAGTGGAATTTGAAAATAAAATCGGCCAAGAGCGTGTCGGGCCACGCTCAGTGTAGGGTTCCGTAGTTTCCTGTCCGTCACAATAAGTGTTCCCACTTATGAGTTTAAAGGTGGGTATCCATTATGTTTGCACTCCAGCAGCGCTCCGTGCTCCTGCAACTGCTCCCGGTAGTGGGTACTGTTGTTTCCATCCAAGTTCAAAATTATTTTCCTAGAAAGTCGTTCTAAAGTTCTACTTTTCAGATTTTTTTCATATTTTCTAAACTTATGGTTCAAAAGTTAGAGTGGGGGGACACATTGTTTTTTACTTTTGGAGCGATTATTTTGAAATTATTGACATTATCAAAAAATGATTTTAGTAAACCCCTATTCATTTTTAAATACCTTTCCAACAATATATCACACGTTAGGGTTGAAATTAAAAACAAATCACTTCCGACTTTACATATAGGGGGGCTAACCCCAATAAAACATTTTTTTCCAATTTTTATTTTACCACTTTGTCAGCGTGATTGATACACAATTGGTACCAAATTTCAGCTCCCTAGTGCTAACGGTCATAGAGATTAAGCGAGGACACAGACGGACAGACAGACATGGCGAAACTATAAGGGTTCCTAGTTGACTACGGAACCCTAAAAAAATGTCAACATAAAGTATAATGCTTTACTTTTACTTGGATCTCCTTTCTTTTAATGTTCTGTTATTGTTGTTGTATATAAGTTGACCTAAATAAGTACTTCAAATAATCCAATTCTTATCTTTTTTATACATATTTGTGATAAGTACTAATATTGTGACTAGGTGTAATTTAAAAACTCATAATTTTAATAAATCACAGGCATTTGCAGCTCCCACATGGTATTACAGTAGTGTTCTGAAAAATGAGTCGAAATGTATATTAAACTTGCTGCACATCCACACTACAGAACATAATTATCCAAATGGTGAAAGTAACATTCACTTTAATCCTAAATGTGATTGTTCGTATTATTTTATGCATGGAACATTTCTATACCTTATCTGTCCTCATTTAAGGTTTTAGTAAAAGACATTCATATATTCACATCTAATCAAAATAAATGAAGACTATTGAAACGATGATCCTGAGACTATCGCAGTTTGCCAGACGTCAAATAATGCGACCAAGCGCGTTATCAAAGAACGTGCTTTTAAAAGTAAACACATGCCAGATTTGCGAAAAATGCGTGCAAACCACTAAGACATTTTATACGGTCGACGTAGGTAAACCACATGCAAATGAATCAGCATGTTTTTGAGCCGTGTCTTGTAAATCAGATTGAGCTACGCGGCACTCCGTCGCTCCAATAACCTCATTATTGAAAGTGATTAGAAATTGAAACAAAAATTAAAGTGTGATATTCAAAACGCCATATGTACCTTGAAGTAAACGATAAGAGAAAGCAATAATTCGACACAAAAAGGTTAGCCCCTATGTACTTACTGCGACGTTTCCGCATCGCAGGCATTTTGGCTATGTACAGTTATATAAACAATTATACGTAAATATTTCCATTACAGAGGGACATAATGTTTAAATAAGACAAAAACAATGAGAAAGTAATGCTGCCATGATCGTTAGCACGCAAGTCGCACACTAAGGCTTGGGGTCGGTGGCCGCTCGCCGGTAAAAGGCTAATTGTAAAAATATGAATTGAACTCTTACACGCGAAAACACACCATCAGATCTTCCTTAATAATCGTCAAAAATTCTGATTTAATGCAATACTATTGTACACGTAACCCTACTTAGCTAGCTGTGCTGGCCTTTCATGAAATGCGACACAGCAAGCGACATGCAGTTTGACCTATTATAGTTTGACGTTCTCAAAAACCTTAAAACTCTGGAAATAAATGGGTAAAAATATACTCACCCCTTCTCGTCATCGTCCATGTCTGGATTCATACGCATAACTTATTACTAATTAAAAATAATGCTTGGCACCGGTAAGACACCCAAACCACACAACCACAGACCCACACGAATGATTATGGCGGACCAACCACATCCGCTTTCTCAAAAGTCATGAAAACAGGATATAGTCAATACAAAGGCTGATATAGTAATTTTAATTTATTTTGCACCAAATATAAAAAAACATATAATTGATTACAGAGAATCAAATAAATCGTATTTTTTGCCAAATTATGATAATAAGAATTCAAGAAACTAGCAACAATTGAACAGAAAATATATTTTTATTGTACAAGATGGCAGTCTAAAGCAAAAGTGTTACCATCAATATTGTAAAACACGCGACAGCATGAATTAAATATATTTGTGTCATTATACAGATAAGAACTATAAATAAAAATATCGAAGATATTATAAATAAAAGAAGATATTGCATTAGGCACTTTGATTCCGCATGAAAAATAAATCCGTTCCATTGACAAAAATCCAGTTTTTAATACAGCCCTGCTAAACGGAAAAGCGAGCTACGTGACAGGCTCTTAAACAGGATTGCGTTGCTGTTTAATGGATTGCAAGCAAGTGGGAGTTCAGATGTAGCTTATAAAATTCTAAATAACTGTTTAAAAATAACCCCAAACATAATTATATTTTTTCTTTTGTTTCTGCAGTATATTTCATATAAATATTTTATTTTCTTATGTCGTAAATCATATGGTCGCCGCACACGGTCAGTTCAAGTGATCATTCCAACTGATCAGTTCAAACAAAAACTGTTGATATTTTTTTAAATATTGGATTTTCTATATATTGATAAATAAACTTATATATAAAACTCCAATATTGATATATTTATAATTATCGATATATCGAAAATCTAATATTTAAAAAAATATCAAAAGTTTTTGTTTGAACTGATCAGTTGGAATGATCACTCGACTGATTCGAATAAAAAATAAAATATTTATATGAAATATACTGCAGAAACAAGAAAAATACAATTATGTTTGGGGTTATTTAACTGACCGTGTGTGGCGTCCATTAGAGTAATTTAATACATTCTTATCACTGACCTTTATATATACAAGTACGCAGGACTGGCTATACCATACAAAATGACTGTGCCAATTTGAAGCGCCGCTAAAGGATGTCTTGAAAAATAAAATTGACATAATATGCCAAAGTATTTTGTCTTATTCATATTGTCATATTTAATAAGTCTGTATTTTGAATTTTTAAACTAAAAAACGAAAGTATTTTATGTTGTTTGATTGTGTATAATATTAGTTACATAATAAGAATTATTTTCATTAATAATGAGAGGGTGCGTAATCTGTAAAACTCGTTACCAAAAGGGAAGCGGTATAACATTTCACAAGTAAGTGAATTTGCGGTAAATATTAAACAAATTAAAACTATTTGATAATATGAGTACTTAGAAATTTGTTACTAATCTTAATATCATATATACCAACATGTTTAGCTGTATATTACTGAGTTTTGATAAACAATAAAATTCAATAGGGTTGTCGAGTTCCTTGTCTATAATACTTATAGATGTTCTTTCCTACCCATATCTGTTAACAAACAAAGTCACCAACAACAGATGATTATCAAATGTTTATTAATTAACAGGTTTCCAACTGAACTAGACTAAAATTATAGCTTAATATCATAAATATTGTGAATTGGCGTCCGAAACAAAATGATCATATTTGTTCCAAACATTTCACAGACGTCTGTTTTATTAGACATGAGAACTGCACCACTATGAAAGCATATCACAATATTTTCTGGTAGTACCAGTACCAAGCACTACCAACTACCAAGAACTAAGTATTAGATTATTATTTAGAATGATTTTTTATTTCTTCTTTCCTCATTTTCCACCAAACTCAAGGGCCAAGTATCGAAAGGTCGCCTGATGATGTCGAGTCACGTTGGATGTGTGTTAGTGGGCTACGGCTGGAGGAGATTCCTCTCCCTGTACTGCTGGAAGAGGAGTGTTTAGAGTGTTATGGCGATTGGCGATGCGCCACTCGACTGTTTTTCGCGACTTTGGTGAGGCTGCACCACTTGATGCTTCCAAGTGCTCGTTTTTCCCTGGCTCCATTCACATATCGGGCTCGGTAATTGATAATTTCAGTTATTTTTTTTAATACTGTAATTTTAATTTCGAAAATGACGTTGTAAATAACTGATAACTATGTAATTCAAAGTTTATATTTTTTTATATAATCTTACTAGCTCATAGCCGGCGCATTGCTGCCGCAGAAGAAATAATTGTGAAAATATTGTTAAAAATGTGGAACAGTTATATTGTATAATTAGGAATGATAATACACTCATTGAAATAAAATGATATAGAACTTTCTAAAACTTTCAAATAAATAGTCAGTATAATACGCACGCCACCTAGTGTCAGTTATAATTCAATTCAAGTCAATTGTAATTTCTGGAGTTGGTGTCAAATAATGGTGTATGTCTTATACGTTTCTTAGGTACGTTAATGTTTAATGTTTTTGGTAAAACCGGAGAATCTAGATAGCCATCTTATCTCATATCTTACGTCTATTTTTAAGAACGTATAATATAGTAAGTATAGTATAATATAAACGTGAGAATGCTGTGATTCGAATGCCTTATAAACTTTGTCTGCATTCTTTTAATTTGTTGTATATGCATAATATAATATGGAGAATAAATACTACTAGCATTATAAACACTTTTGATACAGTTTATGACCGAAAAAGGTTTGTAAGTAGCTAGAACAAACCTTTGCATTTTTAAGCTTTTTGTACTATAATATTTACATGTTTCGTCACAGCCAGCTTCTTGTCAAGGGTACCATGTAGTGTTATGCTACTTACATATCATTTTACACTATTTTTAATTTATTTTTCCATTCAGTTTTTGATTATCTGCATTCACCTCAAAACTGGATATTTTGCATCACCTTTATTTCCATAGGATCCTGTAACATTTTTAAACCATAAGAACACAATCATTTTCACTTCGTATTTTCACGTTATCAGCACTTTTTAAATCGGTGTCAATGGAGTCTACCTTTTTCGGTCTTTTATTTAGTTCTCCGTAACTCTGCAATTTCGGGCTTCGTGCGCACTGTTGCGCTACCTTTTTTCCTATATCAAAAATATCTCATTTTTCAATTAAATCTTGCCGTTTCTCTATTACGAGCCTAAAACCAAAATTTGACATGTTTTGAAATCGTTGTTTATCTGGTTATCATGGCAATTTTTATTCAAATTCGTTACCGGTCTGATGTTTTTACTTCAAAAATTCCACAAAAATACTCTTTTCTTCTTGGCCATTTACAAAAATTTGCTTTTAATTTAAATAATTTCCCGTTCTTTTCACAAATCCGTCGTCGAACGCGGAGCTCTCTAAAAAAGTATAAAAGCCGAACAATCGGCCAATAAAGTAAGTCTCGCTTCAGCTTTCATACTAGAAGCATCTCCTAAAGGACTTATCCGCACTGCCCCGGGTTCCTGCAAGCCTCTGCCTTCACCTGAAGTCGTCGCCTAGCCACGCCTACGCCTCCACCTGCTCCAGACGCTGCGTGTACCTACTCCAGACGCTGCGTGTGCCTACTCCGGGCGCTGTGTGTGCCTACTCCGAGCGCTGTGTGTGCCTACTCCGGGCGCTGTGTTTGCCTACTTTTAGCGCTGCGTGTACCTGCTCCAGACGCTGCGTGTACCTACTCCAGACACTGTGTGTGCCTACTTCAAGCGCTGTGTACGCCTACTCCCGACGCTGCGTGTGCCTAGATCAGGCACTGCGCACCTACCACAGGCATAGCCTGTGCATACTCCGTGATGCTTCTAGTTTGAAACCCCATCATCATTTTCATAAATTTTTTATATAAAAACTGTAAATATCTTTTAAAATTTTAAATAAATTATTTCTTTTTGGTTGTTTCGTTGTTGTTAGGTTAGGTTCTTTAGTATTTAACTGTCGCTTCACGACATTTTTGGCGCCCGACGTAAAAGTTCTCTTTCTCTCTTAATTTTTTTTTCTCTTTTCTTCACCTTAACTACGCCTTATCCATTTCCTTTTGATTTAATTGCTTTCTCTTTCGTTCTTAAATCTTTATTTACTCATCCTTATCATATCTTCCAAATTCTAAAACAAAACTTTATCTAGTTTTTCAACTTATCTGGATTATATTTAGACCTGCATATAACAATTCACTTACATTCATCACTTTAATATTTTTATTCTAGATACCTTAAAGAGGTACAATTATTAATTAAATTTTTATTTCTTAAACTTAACTTTGCACTTAATTATAACAATGAAAAGGGTTATTAAGTACGAATTCCTTAACAAGCCCGAACTCGAATACGAAGTGAAGATTAGATGTGAGGAACCAGCTAATACTGTTTTGCATGACACTACATTTGTATATATTTGTATATATGTTTGTATGTTTGTATAATCATTACCTGATTAATTTCTTTATCTTTATCTTCACTCAGGAGCGGATGACAACTCCTTAAATAAGCCTGAATGTTCTTTCGAAATGTTTTTTTTTCCACGCAGGAGCAGATGACAACTCCTTAAATAAGCCTGAATGTCCTTTCGAAAACACACTTTTAGAGTGGTAGTCATTGAATGTGAACTCCACCCTTACCTGAATGCAGATGATGAATGTAAGAGATAGTATATCTGATTTTGCCTGGTGATGTCTGTTTCTGCAAAGCTGTGTTTTTATGGTTTATTTTAGAATGTACATATCAAAATTTTTGCTGAGTCAAAAATTTTCCAGGGTCGGGGGGAAAATGTAGTGTTATGCTACTTACATATCATTTTACACTATTTTAAATTTATTTTTCCATTCTGTTTTTGATTATCTGCATTCACCCCAAAACTGGATATTTTGCATCACCTTTATTTCCATAGGATCCTGTAACATTTTTAAACCATAAGAACACAATCATTTTCACTTCGTATTTTCACGTTATCAGCACTTTTTAAAT